CGTGGGCCCCGGGCAGTCCTGGGCAGCTGAATTTGAAATCTTTTTGTCGTATACGAGTGGGGAACACTTTCCCAAGGTTTCAGCTTTCTAGCTTTTCTCGTTCCCGAGTTGGCGACTTTCGCGCCAAAAATTCCACTCGCTCGTACGCGGGGCCCAGACGTGTATGAGGGTTGAAACTGCAGTCCTGGGGTGGTACCTAGCTGAGGGAACACACTGGCAAAATTTTAGCTTCAAAGCTTGCGCGGTTAGCGAGTTGAAATACCCGGACAGACGAACACACACACACACACACGCACACACACACACACACATACACACACACTGACAGGGTCGTTGCAACATGCGTCTTTGCTGCCTGTTGCAGCGCTCTAGCGCTGCACGGCAAAAACGCATAATGAAAATACCTAAGGAGTTCGAGATATCAGTTACAACTTCGTCGGCACTTTCATAAAGGCAGAACGACTTCCCTGCAGCGAGTTAAAGATTACAAAGGTTCAGCAGCAAATTTATCCGTCAGCAAAGCAAACAAAATGAAGTGATGGCAAATTATCAAAGAAATGAAAGCCGAAGGTTCCACGAGAGATGTGAAAGAAGGCGAAAGAAACAGGAGAGAGAGAACGCCTCGCATGGAGGTCAATCTTTCTGGGAGTGATGGAAGGGGAGGAGACCAGGCGCAATCTCTTCGAGCTGGAGGTCGCTCCCCTTTCCTTAGCGTATCCATCCATCCCATCTCTCGGCCTTCCGTTTGTGAATGAGATACATATTTGTTCGTGCTCCGTTGAGCTGCTCGCTTACTGGTCTCGAATACCTCATCGGTTCCAGGGACAAGCAGAAGTGTACTGCGTTGGGGAGAAGCTAGTCCCAAGTCAGGTGTTCGATTCGCTCGATAACCAGTGGGTCAGAGGTGATCATCACTTAATGCATGCTCTGGCTTGTCTTGTGTTAACATCACGGCACCTGATGAGTAATCTGAGGCATGGTAAATGGCATCGCGTTATTCTCCAATGTATCGTTGTTAGCAACGGTGCCAAACAGCAGCCGTTCTGGAAATGTTAGATCAGTAAACACAACATGAATTTGATCAGCATTATGAATGAATGAGAAGTGATGTATTTTAGAGCGGGCGCAGCGGATGGTTGCCCTTGTGCTGTGTCATACTAGTAGACTACAAGCGCTGCAAATAAATCTGCAATACTTTTGTTGTGTGGTGTGAAACAATTTCGTGAAGCAGACGTCTGGATCAGCTGTTTGCATCCGGGCAACTTTCTATTATGTTTGCTTTGTATCGAGGGGCATTTGCACCAGTGATTGCGAGTTCTGCCGTGGTGCTGTACCCTGCAATATTTTTCTGGACTAAGCTGGTCCATTCGTCACTAAGCATATTTTGAATTCAGAAGAGAACGGATGAAAAGGCGTATCGGTGAGACAGAGAGAGACATAGAAGGGAAACTGCATGATATGAAAAAACGGCGCAGTATTGTTCTGGGATTGAAAGAAGCGAGCAATTAATAAGTTAACAACCCCCTGCAATGTGATTCTTGTGAGCGCATCCATGTAAAATTTGTTTAGCTACTCCATAAATTGCATAAGTTCAGGGATTATTGAGGTTAGCCATGGAACATTGGCTCTTTATTTTTCAACTTAGGTATGAAGAAGGGCGTCGGAACTTTTGAACTTATTTGCAGATAGCCTTTTGGACTAAGTGTACATCAGTTATAGTTATGAACCAAAGGACCGCTGGCTAAGAAAACTTCGGAACATTGCCAGTGCCTTCTAAATATTGTGGCAAAAGACATTATTTACCTGTTCGGTAGGTTTTGAAACTCCACAATGAGGCGAACTAGTTTAGTAAACTCCACAGTAAAACTTCGTGGTCGGAGTTCCAGCCGCACGCGAGTTCAGAAACACACGCCGTTATGTTCTAAGTACGCACAAGTAGAATTTAAATTAGCGTAACTGCGCACTGCCAATCGAAACTTTAAATCCCATGAAAGTGACAAGTACAAAAAACACACGTGTGCGCCAGTCTCTGTTGCGGGCTGCTATTCGTTGGCTGTTTACAGTAAAAATGCTAGTCAGACAGCCCGGAAGTCCAAAATGCAGCCATACAGTAGGAGTCTTCAATTAACAAACAAAACTGCAAAACTTCACATCCGATTTACAGGACGCAATACTCATGCAGACTAGTTCCAAGTTTCCCGTTCTTTTTTTCCGACACTATGACTACATTTTAGAATCGGTGTCGCAGCTGAGTACACTCAGAAGATTGGGGGTTACTGTAACTTCTTGGCTCCACCAATGTTTATGGTGAATAAGATACGGAGGTTTGACCCTTTCAGGGAATGACAAAGTCAACTTCCGCATATCGCGGTCCGAGCTGAATCATAAGGATGAATATGAAAAAACACTCATGAAAAACCAATTCATGTTGGACAGCGACGGTTGAAAAGTAACCTGAGTGACTGATACAGTGGGCAAATGGTTAAAAAGAGCCGTGGAACAAACATAAAGGTAGGGCCTTGACAGTAATTGCATAAATCAAAACGAATTAGGGAGATCGTTGTGCGCCCTCAACAGCGCTGTTGAAACCTGTTCTCCAACCACAGTCCACGCAGCGCAATTTTTTTTTTTTTTCACCACCATTATACAGGGCATGGAGTGAGAGCGAAACATTGAAAATCATGTTTGATAAGTTATAATAGCAGCTGCACTTCACTCCCAATAACACACCGTATTTCCAAAAACTACGTTCCAATTGATTTTACTGCCAGCACAATCTGCCTGTACATTCCGCTGTGTAGTCCTCAACGTCTATTTTAATATCAATCTGCTCAATGTAGCATCTTTACAGCTGTACCAGAACGGTCTGATTGATGCTTTCTGATCGTTTGTTCCCAGCCAATTATAAGCTGTTTTTCTTTAACAGTGAACGTCTTTCATAGGGTATCGATTATCCTAAATTTGTTACTGTAAATACAGTGTAATCAGCTGGGTCTTTATGCCAGTTCAGACAGGTTAGGAAAAATCCTTCCTGTCTGTAAGTGGAAAACAGAAAGAATTATGAAAACTGACTGCAGGCTATGACCCTGTAGTACATCGCCGAGAATTACGTCCGGGAAAATTTAGTTTCCTAGCTTTTGTAATTGAAATTAGTCGAGAAACTGGAAAAAGACGGTCATATGTGTTGGTAGAATTACGTTATCATCCATGTACGTAAATGCACAACGATATACACAGCCGTACGATTTCACCAAAACTTGTTCAGTGCATGCTATTAATGATGTAGTATGCGAATTCGCTAAAAATGAAGCAATTTTTAAACTTTTTTTTTTCCCGACCGTTGCAAAATTTCCATTTTTTTTAGAAGACAAGAAACACCGAGAGAATATTTTCCATCTCGCACATTAATGTTAGCTGTGGTCGTACGTAATGGAAGACTTATGCTATCATCTGCCATCAAAGCAGCAACACACTCGTAAGATGTGGGAAAGGAGTGGGATCTGCCTCCTGGTGATCATAAACAATGAACTCATTTAGAGGAACGAAAAAATGTAATTTACCGAGACAAACGGTATTTAAACTCGCAGTGGTGACTCATTCACAAAGACAAAAATTTAAGTGCCAAGTGCTAGAAACGCTTGGACAGTAAGTTGAAGTAAAAGACGAGGTTCACTGACGTGCACCTTATGTATCAAATTGATTGGGAATTCAGCGGTGGTAAAAATGATGAAGAGAGAGACACGATTTTCGATCCGAGGAAGAGGAAGAGATGGGAGACGTGTTCTAGACTCTAGCAATACTATATTAGCGCCGTACGCAGCCTCCAACAAATAAGTGCTGCATTTCCATTTTTGATGCTTCGGAACAGCACAAAAAGATTGTCATCTGCTGTCTTAGGGTGATTTTTATTTGAATTTGGCACCTTCATTGCTTTGTTGCTAAATCGAGGGATGTTAGGCCAGTTACTTCTTTTTTGAGGCGAATCAACACTTTTAGGCAAAATTTTTTTTGGCTAAATTTCCCGCTCCTGTATTAAAATCCCGCATCCTTTAACGTTTTGCACGTTTGACCATCTTTTTCGGTTAAACTCTGTTATATTATGAGAAACGCATAAGAAGAGTTTAAAGCGGTGTTTGCAGTTGTCTGCTGAGAATGCCATGTTGCACACCCCTCTCACTTTTGCTCCATTTCGTTTTCAGAGAGAGAAGGAGAGAAAAAATGAGTACGCTGTAATTTTTTTTTTTTAGTTTTGGAAAATTTGTGTAAAAAATTTTGCGATGTGCTGTCAGAATTTCAAAGGCGCAGTGTTACCGAGCTTTTAACGGTGAAAATTGGCAAAAAGTACTTTAGAGAGACGGAGTGTTTGAGTAACATTGTTAGAGTTAGAGCAACATTCGATTAGAAGAAATCCGAAGGTTAGCAGAGTGATCAGTTTTATTCTTAATAAGGTCATCCCACAATGCTCCTTAAAGCCTATCACTATTTTGAAGCTATCGTCTGATTACTATTTCGCGACTATCTCGCGACATTTAGGAAAATCAAAAAAGGAAGAATCTTGCTCAGTAGTTTAGCCTAAGCAAAAGCTTCAAACTCTCAAAAAGGGCATATCGTAATAGAAGTAAATCCGTTAATTTACTTTTTACTTCGGCTCTTAGTAGCGCAACCATAATTTTCTCAAGGGTAGGAAGAAGACTTCAAAATTTCTCAGCGTTTCTGACTTTCGACTTCTTTTTATGCGTTTTGCCGTGCAGCGCTAGAGCACTGCAACAGGCAGCAAAAACGCATATTGCAACGACCCTGTCAGTGTGTGTGCGTGTGTATGTTTGTGTTTGCGTGTGTTTG